CAAAAACGCTCACAATGTTCCCACCTCTTCCTCCTCACCACACGCCTCACTCCTTCCCTGCTGGCGCCTGCTCCTATTCTCAACCCCAACAGCTGTCAGCGATCAGTGCAGAGCTCTTCCACATGTTCGGTGACCAGCAGAGGGGCATGTTGTGGCACCTCGTCTCCCTCCCTCACTCCACCTTTGCTGCCGTCCTCACTCTGCCCCTTCACCCCTTATCCCATCACTCACCCGTCCAGCTGTCAGCAATCAGTGCAGAGCTCTTTCACACGTTCAGCGACCAGCAGAGGGGCAACGTGTCCATGCATGACGTGCAAGCCTCCACTGACTCGCTGCGGAGGTGAGAGTCATGCCAGTCAGCTGTGAGGGTCGGTCAAGTCAAACACGGTCAACAGAGGCAAGCAGAGGGGCAACGTGTCCATGCATGACGTGCAGGCTTACACTAATTCCCTAAGGAGGTGAGAGTCAAGCCAGTCAACGAGAGTCAAGCAAGTGAAAAACGGTCAACAGTGACAAGCACCAGGGCGGCGTGACCTTGCATGATGAGCGAATTTAATATATTCCCAGTCAGTGAAACGCAGTCAGCAAGGGGAAGCGCAGCACGAGGTGAAACAGAGTGAAACCTTTTGCTGCACTGCTTGCCACAGTGTTGTGTTGCCCATCCCTGTCGCCCTTTGATTCAACTCAAAACATTTCCCACCCCTGGCGCACCCTGACTCATGTTTCGAAGGGCTGCAGTAGTAGAGAGGACGCTTAAGCAAAGGAACAAACAGTAAAAACTGGTGAAAAACACGCAGATCTGAAAAATCCTTAGCTTCCGAAAAGCCTCCTTGCGTAAACTAGTTTGGGCGGATGGGCGAACCCAATCACGCCTTCATCAGTACAGCACAATTCGGAACTCAGAACCAGAGAGTCTGGTAGCAGCTCAAGTAGCTAGACTACCCTCGAGATCTACGTACAAGAAACCCAACTACCCAGAATCCAACTAGGAAAGGGGTTCGCCAACTAGGCAATGAAACAAATTCAGGGTGCCAAGTCAGCCTCCAGGAACTTCTTCGACAGCATTGGCGAGTGACTTTGGTAACCGCGCCCTTACGAGTAACCGCTGAAGGTTACGTGCACACTTCCATGCAATTATAATTCTCCCCACATAAAAACCGCGAGACATGAGACGACTTTTGAGGTGCCTCAAAAGCACCCCCAGCCTGAGACGTCCGGTCAAAGGTGTGAACAGTGTCTTCAAGACTAGGGGGCCGCGTTCGGGGGGAGTTTCAAGTTTGTGTGCGTGGCGGGCAGCTGTCTGCTCCAGAAGGAGAGGTCGTGGTCGAAAGAAAATGCTCCTGAAGATGGGTAGAAGGAAATCAGAGGGGTAAGCCCGACTTGGTAGCCGCTGGTAGAAAGCGCGCTTGGAGGCGAGAAAGGTATCTGCAGCAGTCGAGCGGAGAAGATAACGCTTCAGTTCAGCTGCAATGAAACCAGTCTTGCAGTGTCGGGGATGAAAAGACGAAAAAGGGAGATAAAGGTATTGGTTAAGCGGTTTCTGGAATGTCTTCAGATCCAAGATACCCTGCCCAGCAAATCTCGGTCCCTTGAATAAGACCAAATCAAGAAAATCAGCTGAGCTGTCCGAAATCTGCCACGTCAGTTTGATATTCGGGTCAAGCTCGTTGAAGGTCTGCAGATACTTCTCCAACTCACTCCTCGATCCAGGCCAAAGAATCAGGCCATCGTCGATGTATCTGACATGGCGTAGAGGTTGCGTTCCGGACCATCTCTCCCTCAAAAGTTCATCCAGGCGGCTCATGAAAAGTACCGCAAAGCAGACCGCTGCAGGAGTTCCCATAGCGGTCCCTTGCGTCTGGTGGTACAGGTGGCCGTCGAACTCCACGTAAGAATTCATCATGACTGGTTGAAGACTGTGGTGACTCCCTCGTTGCAAAATGCTGCTCACCGCATCGAGTCCGTCGAGCGACGAGGCGTCGTACGTGGCTAGAAGAATCTCCTTAGGAAATGAAGTTTCCTCCAGCGACAAGAGCAGCGAAAGAGAGTCTCGGAGGTAAGTATGCTGTCGTAGCACCCACGGTCTAAGTTCCGCATCTAACCATCTACTGACATTCGAAGTAACCCATGAATGCGAAGCGGCGATCGGACGCCCAGCGAGCTGCTTCTTATGTAGCTTAGGAAGGATGAAAAAGGCTGCGGGTTTCCAACCTCCAGGTGGTTCGTCTAGAAAATACTTCCAAAGGCTGTCGGGATAAGCAGGGCCCCATGCGTGACGCAGTTCGTGCAGTCCCTGAACGACTAAGGCAGTAAGATCGTGGAGAACCGGGGTGTAAGTCGATCTGTTGCCTAGATGGTCCATACAGAGACGAACATAAGTTCCCGATCCATCACAGTGATCCCGATGTTCTTGTCGGCCGGTTTAATAACCACACTACGATCTGCGGCGATGGAACGCAAGGCCTGTCGAACACGTAACGAGATGTTTCGGTGTCGAGGAGGCCTAGATGCCTTCAGCAGAAAAGATAAGTCCGAGGACGAATCTCTGAAGACCTGCTCTGGAATCTCACTCCGATCAGGTGCCCAGCTCGGATTTCCACTCCAAAACGATAGTCCTTAGCCGGGTCTGCATCCTTGAAGAAGAAACGTAGCGAAATCTGTCGGCAAAGCTGATCTAACTCGACCGTAGAAAGGGAAACAGCGGGCTTTGGGATAAACTTCAGACCAAGCCCCAGCGCTTTCTTCTCGTCCAAGGACAAGACTTTGGCGCTGAGGTTATGAACTCCGCGGTTGCAAACTCGTAACGCCGCCTGCCGAAACGTTAGCTTCGCGAACCAACGGAGCGCCAAATCGTGGCTGGTCACTTCTTGTGCGGCCCTTTTACGGGGCCGCCTCCGCTGTTTTTTGGTCCCTTGGCCTTCGATGTGGTAGGGCCTTTCGCCTGCTGCTCTTTGTCGGCGCTGGAATTCTGCTTCTTTGGAGTCTTACCACCCCGCTTCTTCTTCGGCTTAGGCTTCCCAGGTGCACCGTCCTGCCTCCCAGGTTGAGCCGTCTGCTTCTTGTCAGCGGATGTGGCCTGCGAAGAGTTCTGCTCTCCGATGTGAAGATTCTTCTGCAGCTTCTTAGATAGACTGGCCTCAAGCTTCTGCGTAATCTCCCGCCGAGCTTGTCTTCAATCTTCTTGGCATGCTTAGCCAGAATCTCCTCAATCGCAGGCTCCATTTCCATCTCCTGCACCTCCTCAGCTGCAGCAGCGTTCTTCAAATCCTCAGCCGCCAGCTTATGCTGTCGATCGATCTCTCGGATGGTCATCTCATCCTTGGCCGCCGCGATGTCAGATTGAGCCTTCTCGATGCACCGCCCCTTCAGTCGCCGATAGCGTTCTTTGGCGGCATCAGAAACCACCAGATCGGGGTCGGAGCTGAGGCTTTTGATGTACTCTTCCATCTTCGTCGCCAGAGTCGTGACATGCGTGCCGACAGCTGCCTGAATTTCTTCAACCTCCAGTTCTTTAGAAGCGATAAACTCCGCGTGCAGCCGTTTTTTATTCTCCAAGTGGATCTTCGCGACAGCTGCTGCAGATTTCTCTTTGACGGAGTCGTTCTTCGTCTGGAATTCGACCGCCTTAGTCCTGATGCTGTGCAGAATAGAACCTTGGCGATCCAACTCCTTCATCTTTTTGAGCTTGCTTTTCGCTTTAAGAAGGTCCTTGAAGCCGTCCTGGAAATCTTTCACCGCTGCAGCAGTCCAACGAGTGAGAATGTGAGGAATGGGAGGATTGTGAACGGGCTGATCCGGCATCTCCATGCTTGGACGACTCCCACAAGGTCCGGGGAGAGGAATCTCAGGTTGCTTGCTTCGTGAAACAGGTTCGTAGGTCAACTGCAAAGGCGGAATACGACTGCGGTCCCGCGAGTGCTTCGATGCACTCCTGGTAGCAGGACGCGACAATCCTCCGCGCCCACGAGCTTTCTTCGACGAGCCGCGTCCTTCAGTACCGGCCTCTTCGTTTTCTGGAAACCATTCGGTATCCCAAGGGTCACCCTGACTCATGTTTCGAAGGGCTGCAGAAGTAGAGAGGACGCTTAAGCAAAGGAACAAACAGTAAAAACTGGTGAAAAAAACGCAGATTTGAAAAACCCTTAGCTTCCGAAAAGCCTCCTTGCGTAAACTAGTTTGGGCGGATGGGCGAACCCAATCACGCCTTCATCAGTACAGCACGATTCGGAACTCAGAACCACAGAGTCTGGTAGCAGCTCAAGTAGCTAGACTACCCTCGAGATCTACGTACAAGAAACCCAACTACCCAGAATCCAACTAGGAAAGGGGTTCGCCAACTAGGCAATGAAACAAATTCAGGGTGCCAAGTCAGCCTCCGGGAACTTCTTCGACAGCATTGGCGAGTGACTTTGGTAACCGCGCCCTTACGAGTAACCGCTGAAGGTTACGTGCACACTTCCATGCAATTATAATTCTCCCCACATAAAAACCGCGAGACATGAGACGACTTTTGAGGCGCCTCAAAAGTTTTGCTGCACTGCTTGCCACAGTGTTGCCCATCCCTGTCGCCCTTTGATTCAACTCATAACATTTCCCACCCCTGTCCCCATGGCCCGTCAGAATGCTGCTGACCTTTGTTGAGAAAACCCAGCCACTGGCACTCGAAAACACCAGCACCACAAGCACCACCACCAGCACCAGCACCAGCGGCGGCAGCAACAGCGGCAGCGGCAGTACAGGAGCAGCTGATGCACGTGTGGGAGCAGGAGTGCCATCAGAGTCGGATCTGATGGCATTGGTGATGCGCGAGTATGAGAAGGATATGGCTAACCCCCTCACTCACCTCCTCACGGGGAGGCTGGCTGAAGCACTGTTGATTCAGGTGGGTGCCTTGTGGTTTGCTTGCACGATCCCACTGGTGCAGCATACTCATCAGTGGGTGCAGGAGTGCCTTCGGGTGCAAAGGAGTGCCATCAGAGTCGGATCTGATGGCATTGGCGATGCGGGAGTATGAGAAGGATATGGCTAACCCCCTCACTCACCTCCTCATGGGGAGGCTGGCTGAGGCGCTGCTCATCCAGGTGAATATTCACTGAACACTCGGATGAACTTTCAGGTGAATTGCTTGCTTGCACCCATCTTCATCTTCACCTGCACGTGGCACCCCACATCCACGCATGCATGAGCTCATTTGCCACTCTCCAGCACTCATGCCTGCCCTGCGTGACGTGTCCAGGTTCACTGAATATGTCTGCTCTTCATCCTCCTCTCCTCTGTCCCCTCGCCTCTGCCCCCTCTCCCAGGTTCAACGAATGAAACTGCACATTGAAACGTAAGCCCCCATTCTCCTGCCATCACCACTCCATGCCATGCGACTGTAAATTGGCCTTTGCTCCTTTTTCCATTACCCTTTTTCCATTACCCTTTTTTCCCCTGCTCCGTCCTAAGCTGCTTGTACCTTCTGTCTGTCTGTCCTCCCCTAGCCGGATCCGTACCCCTCACATGTGTTTCACTGCCTGCTACACCTGCCACCCTCCACTGCTCCCCCACCTCCCCCTCCCGCAGCCCCCCTCTCCCCCGTGCAACAGAGCCATGTTGGAGCAGATATCGAGGGCGAATCAGATCATCTTCGCTCTGCTCACCCTCTTTTCTCACTCCCTCTCACCTCCTTCCCGATCCTCCCGTCTTCCTCTTTCCCGGACCCTTGGCAACAGAGCCACGTTGGAGTTGGAGCAGATTCTGAGTGCGAATCAGATCAACTTTGCCCTCTCACCCTCTTTCCCCACTCCCTCTCAACTCCTCCCCATCCGCCCTCCCATCACCTCCCCCCGTGCCACAGGGCCATGGTGGAGTTGATTTGGACCAAATCAACTTCGCTCTGCTCACCCTCTTTCCCCTCTCCCTCTCCCTCCCCCCTCCTCCCCATACCCTCACTCAACCCCTCACCCCCGTGCAACAGCGCCATGTTGGAGTTGGAGCAGATTCTGAGGGCGAATCAGATCAACTATGCGCTGCTCACCCTCTTCCCCTCCTCCCTCTCACCTCCTTACTCTCACCTCCCCCCTCCTTCCTCACCTCCCCCCTCGTTCCTCTCCTCCCCTCCCCGCTCCCCCCGTGCAACAGCGCCATGTTGGAGTTGGAGCAGATTCTGAGGGCGAATCAGATCAACTATGCGCTGCTCACCCTCTTCCCCTCCTCCCTCTCACCTCCTTACTCTCACCTCCCCCCTCCTTCCTCACCTCCCCCCTCGTTCCTCTCCTCCCCTCCCCGCTCCCCCCGTGCAACAGCGCCATGTTGGAGTTGGAGCAGATTCTGAGGGCGAATCAGATCAACTTCGCTCTGCTCACTGCCCTGCCCGCCCTGCTGCTGCTCTCCGGACTCTTCTCCCTCTCCCGTGACTTCTCCGTCTCAAAGGCAAGTGGAGTTGAGTGGACCCAAGCTGACCAGAGTTGACATATGAGTAAACTTGAAGTCGCCCTGCTGCTGCTCTCAGGCCTCTTCTCCCTCCCAGGACTTCTCCGTCTCAAAGGTAAACGGACCTGAGCTAACCTGAGGTGACTTAGAGTTTATTTATTTAGTCGAATCAAAAGGCGTTCTGCTGCTGCTGTCCGGGCTCTTCACTAATAACTGCTTGGTTTCCAAGGCACATGAACTCGCATCGGGTTTATTGAAGTTGACTCGCGTCTACTCAAATTGACTCTGTTGCTGCTACATCAATATGTTGCTACAACTTGCTCTGTTTCCAGCTTCCAGCCTTTCCCTCCTGGAGCCCTCCTGTGTGCTTCGCCCTCTGCTCTCCCCATTTCAACCAGCGATGAATGCCCATCTTCCATCCATGCCGGTGCCCATACCCATCAGGCACGGGGTGCGGAAGGAAAAGGCCGGATGGCACAGACAAGACGACGGATGCTACTCGCTGACGTGGAGCGACACGTGTTGCTGCGTAACCACCTGCGGGTGTCACCATCGTCCAAGGCGTTACCACCAGCCCAATCGTTTATATCCACGTCAGCAGCGCCCTCCACGTCAGCATCAGCACCACTTCCCGGATCAACGTCGGTGTCGACTCTCAATCCCAGCTCAGCGCCGTGTGATGATGTGGCATCATCAGCGAATGACGTGTCATCATTGGATGACGTGGCAGTGTGGCACGGCATGTTGGTGTATCTGCTGCATCGGCTGTATGTGGCGGTGCAACGACAAGCCAGCAAGGAGGGCGAGTGGTCACGGTGAGTCTAAGTTGGCATGTATGTACCCATGGTGTGCTGAATCATTGATGCCATGCTCCCTACCATGCACATGGCCCCCGTGCTGCCATGCCATGCTGCCATGCTCTGATGCTCCCATGCAGCTTTGATGGTGTCCAAGTCATTACATTGAACTTCCTCACCTGTCCTCTTTGCTGCTCCCCCCCACCCACCCACCCACCCACCCACCCCCTTTGTGCCATGCCACCAGCCTGCAGCAGGATATACTCGATATAGCAAGCCCCCACATGGACATGCAAGGCCGGCAGCTGCTAGCAACGCGCATGGCGACCGTATATGATTGCCTCGTGCCACTCGCCAAATGAGCCAAGGGCCCATGTGTTACTTAAACTGTTGTGTTCATTTCATCATAGTCATATCATATGGTTGCCTTTTAGATTCCTTCATAACTTGATTAGCAGGGCAAGTTTTTGTAATCTAACGAACGAGCTAAGTGCACATCTCCACATACGATACGGTACCTGTAAGCAGCTTTTGGTGCAGAGCCAGCAGGCACGTGCATGACTGACTGGCTGGGGGTTGAGAGGGCAAACAGGGAATGGCAGTGCAAGTGTTGTGCTCTCCCACCCACCTTAGCAATACGGTAATAACTTCAGGAGAGGTAAACAGTGTCACATACCGTACAATAAGAGGCCAAACCTACGTACGGTACTCACATGGATGGATCTGCTTCGCACTCTACAGGTTATCAGGCCCCAGGACTTGCATGCTGCCCCTGGCCCTTGCATGCTACTGCTCGAGGCACCTTAAAGCCCGCGGGCCAAATTGCGGACTGCGCGGGTCAAGTTTTAAAAACTTGACGAAGTGCCCTGTGCATGCTTTGAAAAGCTGCGCAGGTGCAATTTGGGACTTTCGAAGTCAATCACACCCACCAGGGAAAAAACGAGGGGCTCGGTGGGTTTGGCGAAGAAAACGACTTTGACGAAATCAGAAACACTCGCCAAAACCCAAACCTGTAAACCCCCCTCATCTTCTTTTTAAAACTTGTGCAATTTGAGCCAACGGCTTTAAACCACATGTGCTGAGCAGCTTGTAAGCATGGTACGGTACATCGACGAGAAGGTATCCATACAACCATGTCAACCCCCATCCGCATGGCCCCATGGCAGCAGTCACGTCTTGAGCTGTGCATGCCCCTTGGTTGCTATGTGCTTGAACAGTTGGTTCCTGGTAAGAGGGAAGGGTTGGAGGCATGGGCAGATCGTGAGTGTGAGGCGAAGTGGTGTGGTGGTGGTGAGGGCACGAGGCATGAGACGAGGAGGAAGAGGCAGGCAGGTGGCACATGAGATGGTGCAGAGCCTGATGAATCCCACAGTGGTGCAAGCTGGAATTAAGTGAGCTCACCTGGAATCGAACTCGAGACCACACACTCCACAGGCCAGTGCCGGCTGCATTCAGACACAGAAGCAGCAGGTACAGGGGCAAGGGACACAAGGGGCAAGGGGTTAAGGTGAGGAAGGGGATCACAGGTACGACAGACAGCGGCAGCAGGCACAGCCACAAGAGGGACGTGTGAGTGAGTGACAACAGCAGGCAGCAGGCCAGACAAAGGTCAGACAAAGGCTGGCAACCAAAGCATCATGCATCACCTCTGTGATCTCTTCGCCAGCCTCTCACTCAACGCCCTGCATGCATGGCCACCTGCTGCCGGCCCTACAGACAGCCCCACGAAACATCATGCCTCCAACCCACCTCTGCGTTCTTCCCCTTTTTTCTGTCCTTCTTGCCGCCCCTCCCACCCCTCCCCCCTTTCTCTCCCCAGCCGTCCACCATGCCACCACTGCCGCCCCCTTCCCCACCACCAAGGGTGGCTTTCGGCCCGCTTGCCTCCCCCACTCCCCCATTCCCCCCTGAAACTCCGCCCTTTCCCCCCGCACCCTTTGCTGCCCTCCGCCTCCCCTTCTTCCCCTTCCCCTTTGTAACCCCCTCCTCCTCATCCTCCCCCTCCCCGCCTCCCCCCGCTGCTCCCTCACTCTCCCTCCCCTCCTTCCCACCACCCTCCTTGCTGTCACCTTCACTATTGTCACCTGCTGCTACCCCCTGCCCGTCTCTCTCTGCTGCCACCCCATCCGCCGCCTCATGCAAGCCACATGCAGCAGCAGGGGCAGCAGAGGGTGCAGCAGCAGGGGCAGCAGAGGGTGCAGCAGCAGGCATGGGAGCATCGCCGTCACTCTGCTGCATCTCTCTTGCCTCTGCATCAGTCGCTGCGGACGTGTCCCCGCTCTCACCCTCTGCTGCCAATGCCGCTGCCTCCTCCTCTTGCTCCTCTTCCTCTTCACTTTCCTCCTCCTGCTCTGCTTTCTTCTTCGCCTTCTCGTTCCTCTTTTTCTTTTCAGCCATCTTCTGTCGGGCCAGCATCGCAGCCAGCATTGCCATCTCCTCCTCCTCATCCATCTCACCTGCCTCCTCCTCCTCTTCCTCCTCCTCCTCCTCCTCCTCCTCCTCCTCCTCCTCCTCCTCCTCCTCCTCCTCCTCCTCCTCCTCCTCCTCCTCCTCCTCCTCCTCCTCCTCCTCCTCCTCCTCCTCCTCCTCCTCTTCCCTCTCTTCTTCCTCATCATCCTCATTCTCCTCCTCTTCTTCCTCCTTTCCTACCTCCTCCTTCTCCACCCCTCTCAACCCATCAACCCCCTCCCCTTCTTCCTCCTCCACCTCTCCCTCCTCCCTCTCGTCCTCTTCACTCTCTGTCCTACCAACCGCTTCCCCATCCCCATCCCCATCTCCAACCTTCCCCTCAGCCATCTCCATCTCCTCCACCTCCTCTCCCTCCTCCCCCGCCAGCTCGTCCGCCAGCAGTTCCGCCCTGAGCTGCGCAAGGCGCGCCAGGTGCTTCTTGCTGCGCTCGTGGTTCCCCAGCTGCTGCGCGCTCCTGAACGCCTTGCTGCACACCACGCAGTACGCCTCGTCCAACCCCGCCTCACCCATCCCCACCGCACCCTCCCCATTCATCCCTGCCTCACCTAGTTCCGCCTCCCCTTCCCCAGCCCCATGCCCCCGCACCCCCTTTTGCGCGCTGCATCCCCCCGTGTGTGCGTCCCCCTGCCTGCCCTTCTTCTTTTTCTTCTTGCCTCCGCCTCTCTCCGAGCCCAGCCCGTCGCCCTGCCCGTTTGCCACGGTTACGGATCCATCTGTCCCTGCCCCTGCCCCCCCTCCTCCCTTTCCTTTCCCTTTCCCCTTCCGCCCCCCTTTCTTAGTCTCCTCAAACCAATCGTCGTCCTCCTCCTCCACCCTCCCCGCCTTCCGCCCCTTCCGCCTCCCCGTCCCCTCTCCACGCCCCTCCACTCCATTCCCCTCCTCATCCTCGTCCTCCTCCTCATCCTCCCCTTCCCCGTCTCCCCGCGCCCACTCCGGGTCTTCATACTCCTGCGCGCGCCGCGCCTTCTCTCTCCGCTCCTCCTCCCTCCGCCGCTTCGCCTCCGCCTCGCGCTCCGCCGCCACGCGCCGCGCCTCCGCCTGCTGCTCCTTCACGCGCGGGTCGCGCTTCTTCACGAACGCCGCCAGCTGGCGAACCGCCTCGTTGAACTCGCGCTTCGCCTTCCGCCGAAGCTTCGCGTTTTCTTCCTCCATAAGCCGCCGCACCTGCACGTGTGCGGCATACGTGGCACATGTGGCACACGCGGCATACATAAAAAGAACGGGGCGCGAGGGAAGGGCGGCACAGGCAGGGTATACGAGGATTCAATCGCGTAAGCCCGATTCCCTCATCCCCATCCTGCACCCTGAACCTAAAGTCCTTTCTCGCACATCATTCCAACCGCCCTCATAATGCTCCACTCTTGCACCCGGAACCCTGAACCCTGATCCCCGAAAAATCCATAAACGTCAGCATATCTCACCCGTCGATTGGGAGCTTCGGCCCGATTGTACTGATCCTTCCACGAAAAGTCGCGCAAGCTCACGAACGACTGCCAGTACTTGAAGAACGCCGACACATCAGCAGCTGAGCTGTCCCTCTTGCCGAACGGCGGCGCCGACATGTCCACCTCCTCCCCTTTCTGCGCCGCGCGCCGAGCCGCTGCGAGCTCCTTCTCGAAGATCTCGTCGAAAATCTTCGCATACACTGCGTAAAACCCTTCGCCTGTATCGCCGTAACCAGAGTAGGCGGAGGCGGAAAAGTAACCCCACAGATCTTCGTCTTCGTCTTCGTCGTGGTTTTCGCCATCGTGGTGCGTGTCGCCGCGAAGGATCGAGTCGCGATGGCTGTCGTACCACGCTCGCTCGTGCTTATCGCTTAGCACTTCGTACGCGCTTTGGATCTGCTTGAACATCGCTGTAGCGTGCTCGACATTGTTCTGATTCTTATCGGGGTGCCACTGTAACGCGAGCTTGCGATACGCGGATTTGATATCGTCCGCCGATGCGGAGCGATCCACGCTCAGCACCTCGTAGTGGCACCGCATCGTGACGGCCACGTGGCAAAGCTCGAATCGGAATGCTTTAGATGCTTTACTTGAGACTAGCCACTGCGCGTCGTGACAAGCGCGACAGGCAGCTACACCCGCCTCTACAGCTTCTCGCAGTCCAGGATTCCTAAGGCAAAAAAGTCGATCTGAAAGAAACGCCTCCCGACCCGAGCAGCGTGGCAAAACAGAATGCTCTAAGGTGCGGTATAGATTGCTCCAAACATCTAAAATAGGGCAAAATAGCGCGACGCAGCCGATCGCGCGCCTAACTCAATCCTGTCGACCAAGTTCTCACCGCAGGTAGGGCGACCGAACCCATGGTAAATGAATTGACCTATATGCGCTTTCGCGATTGTAATTGCCAATTGTGATGCGCTGGAATCGATGTTTTGTCTCGACATCATTGTGTCGCGTGCAGGCCCCTAGATTCGTTCTGGACCAGGCTGATCCATCAGCCTTGGTACGGAAAAAAACGTTGAGAGTCAGCGTTACCTAAGAAAAAAACGCTGACACTTCAGCGTTTATAAAAAAAAACGCTGATCGTAAAAAGCTTTGATTTTAAGCAGAATTAAGAATTACATATAAAAGGAATTATACTATTTCCCACCCCCCTACCAAGTTCTAACCTTTTGGATATTTGTAATTCGAAAAATATAGGCATTCCCAGTCGTGCATGGTACCTGCACTACAGACGCGCATACCGACCAAACTGACCAGCGCATTACTTATGTTTGTAGAGATGCAGTTGGTACCATTTTCTTGCCAGTCCACTAGATTAGGCCATCTACTTTAACAACACTAGGTTCTAACATTTTAGATCCATATATTTTGAGAGATTTCAGAGCTCCAGCTCCGCCTTGTAGCGATGCACAAGCGTGCATAGTGACCAGGGCTCAGGCTATCAGGGTAAATGCTCATTCTTGACCGAAAATCCAAGGTATTTGTTAGCCAAACTCGGATTTTTACAGGGGATTTTTTCTTCGAGCCCTGACTGAATCCGAGCACTTCCAGGACTGACTCTGATGAATCCGAGTAGTCACCTCCCTGCCTGCCTTGAAGACAGGCGGAGAACCCGGCGGCCGCTTTGTCAGAATCCCAACCACTAGACCATTGGGATAAAAGGGCTTGTTTCATTAGCGGGTCAGAGTGCGCCCATAACCCCCCAGGCAAACGCGCCTGTAACCCTCCGTAGGATCAATTGGGCATCCACAGTGCAGATCTACTGACACCCCCCCACACTGGGAGGCGCAGGACTGAGCACAGCGGCAACGGCCTACATGTGCATACACCGAGATTCGAACCCGAGACCACTCTGACACCATGTCAGAATCCCAGTCACTAGACCATTGGGATAGAAGGGCTTGTTAAGTAGCGGATCAGTGCGCCCATAACCCCCCAGGCCAACGTGCCTGTAACCCTTCCCTAGGATCAATCGGGGATCTCCAATGGACCTCTGACACCCCCCCGCACTGAGATGCCCGAGGTGCACACACTGGGATTCGAACCCGAGACCTTCGCTCTGATACCATGTCAGAATCCCAACCACTAGACCATTGGGATAAAAGGGCTTGTTTCATTAGCGGGTCAGAGTGCGCCCATAACCCCCCAGGCAAACGCGCCTGTAACCCCCCGTAGGATCAATCGGGCATCCACAGTGCAGATCTACTGACACGCTTCACCCTGAAAATCCACATGCCACTGACGATGTTCGCCCCAGGCGGGGGAACCTCGTCAACGTAGGTGCCTGTGGACTTCCAGGAAGCCATCTCTGTGTCCATAGCTGCCTGCCACTGAGAGGAGTAGGGACCCTCTATCGCCTCCGCGTAAGAGCGCGGAATCGGGATGTCAAGTGCATCCGGGTCTCCCTCAGGGGTAAGCAGTACGGACACGAGATGAGGTGAAGCAGCAGCCAAACACTGGAACTCCTCCTGCCTGTCCTCAAGGACGTCCGTGCCAAGGGCACACTCACCCCCGACGGACGGAGGACAGACAGACTCAGACTCAGCGACAAGACTAGCAGCGTAGTCTAGAGGACAGCGAGCAGCAAAGTCGACGAGCTCAGCAACTAGGGCAGACGCAGCAGTGGACTCAAAGGAAATGTCAGTGATGAGAGTAGCAAGGAGACGCGTGACAGTAGGACTGGCAGCACGAAGAGAGTCCGACTTCGGGTCGGCAAGAGCAGGAAGAAAGGACTCAGGGGGAGAAGGCAAAGGGGCACGCAGAGGAGCAGTGGACGGACGCAGAGACATCCGGTGCGTGCCAGGGACCGGAGGAGGACGCTGACGCGAACCACGACCACTAGTGCGAGCAGGACGGACAGGCGACACAGGGCGAGACGCAGGCTCACGACGCTCAGCGAGACCTCCAGTAGGACCAGTGTAGGGAGAAGGAGCAGGCAGTGGGGAGGCCGGCTATAACTGGAACTGTGACGGGACAGGCTGTGGACACTCTAAGGGAGGAGGAGGACCAGTAGAAGGTGGAAGACCAAGAACCTGCTGAAGGAGCGGAACGAAGTACGGCCGAGGCCGTGCGGCGACTCCAGACACAGCAGGGACAGCACCAGTACCCCCAGTGGTAGCACCAGTGCCAGCAGCACCTCCAGCTCCAGCACCCCCAGCAGCTCTAGTAGCTCTAGGACCTCCAGCAGCACCAGTAGAACCCCCAGCAGGACCGCCTCCAGGACCGACAGCAGTAGCCTCAGCGCCAACACCCTCAGCAGCTCCAACTCCAGTCGGACCCGCAGGCCCAGCAGCTCTAGTACTCCCAGGACGAGCATCTCCGAGACCCGCGACACCAGCACCCTCAGTAGCCGAAGAACCTCCAGCTCCTGCAGCACGCCTCCAGCGCCGGGCAAACCACTCGCGCAGCTAATGTGGAGAGAGTGGCTCCCGCCAAGACGAAGCACCCGGAGAACCGCCAGGCACAGTACCGCCAGACGCGACACGAGCAGGCCCAGCTCCCTCAAGCTCCGCACCCTTAGGCTCAGCACCTCCAGGCGTAGCACCCCCAGGCTCAGCACCCCCAGTCGTAGCACCCCCAGGCTCAGCACCCCCAGGCGTAGTACCCCGAGGCTCAGCACCCCCAGGCTCAGCACCCCCAGTAGTAGTACCCTCAGGCTCAGCACCCCCAGGCGTAGCACCCACACGCTCAGCATCCCCAGAGTCAGCACCCTCAGGCTCAGCACCCTCAGCAGCACCAGAGTCACCAGTAATTTTGACAAGCTCGACTGCGTCTACCTGGGACACACCTGAAGGGGCAGGACCCTGAGGGGGGAGGGGGTCTACCGGGGGGGGACCTGGCACAAGGAAGAGCGGTGGCGGGGGGAGGGACGGAGTGCGGTAGGGGAAGAGGCGGTAGTAGGGGACCGACTCGTCAAACGTGACGTCCTGGGAGGACAGAACACGGCGAGAGGTGGGGTGGTAGAACTGCCACCCAGGCACGTCAAGGGGGAAGTCAAGGAAGACGCAAGGAGTAGCACGAGGGGACAGCTTGTCTGCAGACAAGTAGCGGACAAACGCCCTGTTGGAATCACTGAACAGGAATGAATGAACTAGCAGTGAAATGAGTACAAGTACCTAACCCTAGAATTGTGTACCCCCTATAGGCTAACCCACTGTAGCCTAAACTAACACAACATATATAATGTTTGACACACCCCCATAGGCAAAGTGGGGGAGAACTAGGGGTCACAAGACCAGTCAAGGCAAAGCAAGGCAAAACAAGCTCAGGGTGGATCTCAAGGATACCACACGAATTCCGAGCACAAGCAAGTGGTCACAAGACCAGTTCACATGCAGGTTTATAATAGAGCAAAAGGTACAATGATCACAACCTAACAAGAGTAAACATGCAGGTATAGATTTAGAGATCACAGTACAAACAGACTCAAGAAGTAAGCAAGTGAGGTCCAGTAGGCACAAGGCCTAGAAGAGTGCAAAAGCGCTGATGGTCACAAGGCTGAAGCGCCTTGGTGAACACATCAGCAGTGTTGGCCTCAGAGGCCACGTAACGCAGGCGAAGCTGACCACGCTGCTGCAGCTCTCGAGCAAGGAAGTAACGCAGAGCAATGTGCTTCGTTCTGTGCTCCAGTCTGTGCTCCTCACACAAGGCAATGGCTGCCTTGTTGTCGACGTACAGCACTGGAGGAGAACGAGGCTGCTCTCCAAGGTCGGTCAGCAAGTAGGTGAGCCAGCGTAGCTCCTGGGCCGCCATGGCTGTGGCGTAGATCTCAGCCTCACAATTGGAGCTGAGAACATAAGAAGAGCGAGTAGAACGCCAAGAAACAGAACCAGAGCCAAGACTGAAGGAGTAACCCTGAGACGACCGCTGAGTAGCCTGGTTGTCTGCCCAAGAAGCGTCTGAGTGCCCAGTGAGAACAACTGGGACTCGCCCTCCAAGCACTAGCCCCATGCCCGACGTACTGCACAAGTAGCGCAACACCCTCTTAGCTGCATCCATGTGCTCCTTCCGGTGACGGCCGGGAGCGACATAGCGTGCAAGAATGCTGAGAGGGTATGCAAGGTCTAGTCGAGTGCAGGTCATCAGGTACATGAGGCAACCCACAAGCTCTGGAT